TCGTTGTTATTGTTGTTGTTGGTTGTGTTGAAATAGCACCATCAACATTTGATTTTATTATCAACAAAATAATAACGAATTGTAAAATTATCAGATTGTAAAATTTCGATTGAAACATCGTGAATGAATGAATGAATGAAAAATTTTGTTTTCGCAGTATTTATAGGATTATCATTAGATCAGTAGTTTTTTTCTTTCATTCTTTCTTAACCTGTTCGCTACCGGAGTTTTTGAAAAACACATTGAAACACAGCAAATGGGCGACGCATATATGCGTCGCTGGTAGCGAACGTGTTAAAAATAAATTCCAAAAAATATCAAGTGTGAAGATCATTTTGAAAAAAATGTCATTTGTTGTTCAAAAGAATGATCATTCCATTATTGATAGACTTGATTAAAGTTTTTTTCACATTCATTTTTCAACGAACGACATGATACATCAGCAATCGTATGACAAATTTTGTTTCTCTCTTTTCTGTCGTGATCATCATTAATACACTTCATCGCCATCACCGGTAAATTTATCGATCAAATCACCACTAAATGTCAATTTTCTTCTCTGCTTGAAAAAAATGAATGAGAAAGTGGGAGATGGTGATGATGTCTATTTGACATTTACCCACATAATCATTCGAAAGAAATTGTGAACACGTCATTTTGCATTTGGTGTCAGTTTCCTTCTAATCAAATCTTTTAGCAAAAAAATCAAATGATCATTCGATTTTCAAGTACAGCAGCAAAAAGCCACGATTTTCCGAAGAAACCTGTCAACTCTGTATGAATTGAATTTAGAAAAAATTATCATCATTTTGAATAGAAAAAAATAACAGTAGAAAAAATCATCATCGATTTGGAGAGGAAATCCTTGGTTCTGCCAGTTCAACAACCACTATTTAAATGAGTTGAATGTTTAGCATTCGGTTGGTTTTTTGTTACTCTATTTTCAAAATTGATTAATCATGATATTTTATGCTGAAAGTGAAAAAAGACTAATTTGAATAATCTATTTACTTGGTTTTGCTTTTAGATTTGTTCGTCAGTAAAGTGATTTGCTCAAATAAATAAATAAATAA